TCCCGGCGCCGCAGCGCGCCCCTCAGCGCGCAGGCCCCGCCGCCGCCTGTCACCTCCGCCCGCCCCTCCGCCATTGGCTGCGCTCCGCCACGTGCCGCGGCGCTGCCCCCGCCGCCTCCGCCGGCTCCCGCGGAGCCGTTACCTGCGGCGGGGCCGCCTGCCCGCCCGCCCCGATGCGGAGGCGAAGTGCTCGGGCCGAGCCCAGCGCAGGTAGAGAGCCCTGATGGGCCGGGCTCGGGGAGGCCGCTGCGGGCGGGTACGAGCGCGTTGGGGAAGGCGGCGGAGTGGGGCTGCGGGGCTGGGTTTGGTGAGGGGGATAAGGCTGCGTTTTATTTCTTCCTGCGGGATGAGGGAGCCGGGGGGGCTTTGCCCTCCCTCCTGGTGCCCGCAGCGCCGGGACGTGGCAGCCGCCGTCTCCCCTCCCCCGGTGCGTATCCCGGGCGATAGCGGCGAACCAGGAATGACTTCAAGAGCTGCTGCCGCTGGCAAAACCTTCCCGTCTCATGCGCTGCTCAGGGAGGACGGGTTTGGGTGCCTCGGTGGGTTGTGTCGTTCTGTTGTGGTGGGCGAGGTCAAAATATACGGGTGGTGGAGGGGAGAGGTTTGTTCGGGAGTGATGGAAATGGATGGGAGGTGTTCATCGCGTGCCTTTCAGGTTGGATACGGGGACAGAGTTGTTCTGCAAAGGAGAGGTGATGTGTTGGCTCAGAACAGCACAGGGAGCCGTGGGGTCACCGTGCCTGGAGGGGTTGAAGAGCTGTGTGGATGTGGCACTGAAGGACGTGGTTAGTGGGCATGGTGGGGACGGGCTGGGGTTGGACTGGATGATCTTAGAGGTCTGTCCCAGCCTTAATGATTCCACGTGTCTGTGATGCAATCAGTGGAGGTCAGTAGTTACCCCGTGCCTGGCTTTGCCATAACTCTGACTGTTAACATTCAGAGGCATGTTTCTTTTTGTTCTGAAGACAAATGGTGGAGATTAATGCTTTTACGTGAATGTATATTGATGTATCTCTACTAGATGTGTATTTTTAAGTCTGCCTTATGCTGGGGCTGGTCAGATTCAGCGCCTGGTATCATGGAATCATAGAACATCCTGAGTTGGAAGGGACGCCAAGGCTAGATTCCAGCTTCTTGTTTAGACATGGTGCTCCATCCATTTCACTGCTGCTGGCTTGCTGCCTCCTATCTCTGTTCCAGTTCAAGCCCCAGGAAGCGTCTGGTCCCAGCTGAGCACACTGTGCTTCATTGGAAGGTCAGAAGAGCACAAGAGGCTTGGCACATTGGCAGCTTCCTTTGGACGATGAGTGACGGGGTTTCCTTGGCTTTGGGGTGTTCAGGGAAGCAGTGCCCTTCCTTCCTCCCATGGGTTGCTAGTAAATCAACTCAACAGTTGACTGGCGATTAGGGACAGGATGTAAGAAAATAAAGTGCAAGAGCAGAAACTTCCTTTTGATGAGGGAAGCAGGCTACAGATGTTTAATTTGTGTTGTTTTACATGTGTCTCTGACAGTTGTGGAAAGGGCCGTTAGGTGCTAAGCTCACTGCGGACTTGCAGGAGTTGGAGAGCTGGTGGTTTTGCTGATGTAGGAAATCCTGGAAAGCTTCAGAAGGTCTCATGCTTTGCTAAAGGTGAGGTTATTGAGCAGGGCTCCACCAGAACTTCGAATTTGTCATGGGGTATTTTTCAAATGACAAATGAGTGAGTCTGGACAAAGCTTACTCAAATGCAACAGGTTAAAGCATCTGCTGAAGGTGTGTCAGGTGCTTTGAAGCTGCTCAGTGGTAATTCAGATGGAGGACTTCTGAATGACAAATCCCCATTGCAGACAGCTCTCTCACAAGGTCGTTCATGAATTGTTAAGGACTTTCTTAAAACTTGTGTAGGCTGTCAATTTCCATTGCTCCTATGGGAAGGCTGTTTTGTTGCTGCTCAGGCATCTTTTGCTCCTAGTATTTGTTCATGACCACTGTGCGTAACATTCTCCTTTTGTTTGTTTGCTTTTGTCTTTGGTGTTTAAATGCGTGGTGTGTCTAAGAACAAACTCACAACCTGTTTGGTGAACTAAACAAGTTGAGTTCTCTGGGAGAGCCCTTCATTCACCATCCCACCAAAGCTCTCTGTCCTGAAGCCTTGACTTCAGAAGTTAACCACTGAAATTGATTGTAGCAACATTGTTTGCAATATTGCAATTAATTTTAAGCCTTTCATCAAGGGGAACTTCTGGCATTGGCTCTTCTGCTTGTGTAGGCTGAAGTGTGACTTTTGCCATGGTCTCTTGGAGTGTTAGATGATACCGTGGTAAAAATGCTGCTGTGCCATTAACATTGTTCCATAATTACCAGTTGTTCCGTGCTATTCTGCTGCATAATTCAGTTGTAATATGAAACATCTTGGCTGTGTAAGTCTGCTGGCATGTTTCCTTAGCCCAGTAAAGATGAATGCTATGCCCTGTCTTTTCGGACCATTTCCTTAGGGATGATTTATTCTTCAAAATTCCCATGTAAGGGGAAAGATTTCATTTGTTTTGGCTTCTTTGCAAGGGCTCAGAAATGCCTCCTGCTTGTGCTACATGAACTTACCCAGCTTGTGGTGGGTGCAGTGCTGATATACTGTGCTTTCTTCTTCCCCTCCTGGCAGCTGCAGCACTTTTGCAGAGCAGTGTTTCTGCGTCTGCACAATTTGTGGTTCAGAGAGAAGGCTGTAGAGAGAATCATGTGAGATGTACATAGGAAGGGCTTCTGAGAGCAGCCTGGTGCACTTGCTCCAGTTCTTCATGCACGTTTTCCTGCTTCAGCTGATACACCGTGGCTGGTTTTGACTTCTGAACGTTGCTTCTTGCACAAGTGACCCACAAAAGGAGGGTTCATTTTCAAGAATGAAGTCTAACTCTTTAATATGATGCTTTTCACAACAGCAGTGCTTTGGCTCACCTGTTGATTCTTGCTTGGCTGGAATGCTGACCTTCTGTGGCTTGTTTGGGAGCCAGAGCAATTCCAAATTCAGATACCATTTTCTTCTGTCACAAGACATTGGTAGCCCTCCAAGGTGTTGGAAGGGCGTCTTGTTGAAGACACTAATTGTGTTTATCTCTTAGAGATGTTTGCTGCTCCTCAGCGTGCAGTACTTAAGAGAAGTTTCATAGTAAAGCCTAGAAAAGTTTGGTAAGTTTGACTAAAGCAGAGAGTGCAAGGCAGAAGTCAGATGTGGAGGGTGAGCCCTATTTTGAACACTAAACCATCATTTAGAACCAGTCGTTCACCTTTTGTGTTATTTCAGCAAGAGCTGTTAATATCCAAACAGCTTGCTGGTAGGGATGCTGGAAGGAAGCATTCCTTCAGGAGGTGTCACACTGAATATTTCTAATTATGGCAATAATTGCACCAGATTAGGACTGGAATAAATTGTTGTACGCTGGATCAGGATGACCCAAGGTTAAGAGCAAATTGTAGCCTAGCTGTGTATATCCTTCCTTGATGGAAAGACTGGGCAAATGGACACAACAATTACAACAAGGTTGTTAATGATTTCATGAGTTAATTGGTTCTTGATATTGTAATAAGGATTTGAGGTTCACCGTTAAACAATCAGAAGAAATGAAAATAGGCACTATATGGTACAGAAAACTGATTCTGTCTCCGAGTTCTGTTGCTGCTTGCTGGTCTTTGTGGCTTCAACCAAAATAACTTTTGACTGCAAACCTGTTGATACATTTGAGAGCATCTTGCTGACTGCTCTGATGGTTCCATGGGCTCCTCCTTTCAGCATTACGCATTCTTATTTTCGTAGAAGACAGATCTTGACTAAATGAATTGCAGGTTGTAAAAGGTACCTTGGTTTTTACATCTTATTGTTTGATTAAAAAGCCTTACCAGTTACAGTTCATTTTGTGAGACACACTACAGAAATGTAATTAAATGTCCTGTTGTGGGTGCTTATAACCGTATTATAGGCTAAACTTTTTGCCATCAAGGAAGTATTGTTTCTGTTGCCTTTATTAAATTAGCTGAAGCAGCAGACTCTGCTGTTGATCAGAAGAAGCATCTCTGTCAAGTGCTTGTTTTTCATTCGAAACTAATAACTACTAAACAGATAAATCCAGAGAAGTTGTATCCAACATCTATGCTGAAGTGACAACTTTACTGTGGGTAAAGTGGCTACAGAGGAAATAATTGACAAAAGTCTCTTAATTTTTAACTTTAGTTGCAGGTTTTTTTTCTTCTCTGTTGAGAAGCTGCAGTCTGATCTGCACCTGCTCCTACAGCCTCCTGTCATGTTTGGTGACCGTTTCTGCTAAGAAGTGAGAAGATGATGATCAAAGAATTATTTGAAGATAAACACCCAACACTGCTATAACCCAAAGGTTTCATGCTTCTGCACGTCCCCGATAAGCCTGCATCAAATCTTAAGTATCTCAGGAATTTTTCCTCATGCTTCTAGTTTTCAGGGATCATTGTTGTGAGCTATTGAGGGAGAGTCCTAGGCCCCATCTGCAGCACTGCATCCAGGCCTGGGGCCCCCAGTACAGGGAGGATGCGGAGCTCTTAGACCGGGTCCAGAGGAGGGCACTAAGATGGTCAGAGGGCTGGAGCAGCTCTCCTGTGAGGAAAGGTTGAGGGAACTGCGATTGTTTAGCTTGGAGAAGAAAAGGCTCTGGGGAGACCTCATTGTGGCCTTCCAATACTTGAAGGGAGCATATAAACAGGAAGGGGAACGGCTGTTTACAAGAGTGGATAGTGATAGGACAAGAGGGAATGGTTTTAAACTGAGACAGGGGAGGTTTAGGTTAGGTATTAGGAGGAAGTTTTTCACCCAGAGAGTAGTGACACACTGGAACAGGTTGCCCAAGGAGGCTGTGGATGCCCCATCCCTGGAGGCATTGAAGGCCAGGCTGGATGTGGCTCTGGGCAGCCTGGTCTGGTGGTTGGCAACCCTGCACATAGCAGGGGGTTGAAACTACATGATCATTGTGGTCCTTTTCAGCTCAAACCATTCTATGATTCTTAGAGGATGTTTCAGTTTGTGTTACAGAAAGAGATTTCCTAAGTCAGGAGCAGTTCCTTTGGAACAAACTGCCTGTTTCTTTTTCCTTTCCCACTCTTTCCTGTGTATTTTGTTACTCTGGTCAAGTGGGCCCATCCAGATAAAAGGACTTTTTACTTTCATTGTGTAGGTTTGTGATCCAATTTCAACATCTGGGCAATTTTTCAATTGGCTTTTCAATTGGACCTTAAAACCCGCGTTTAAAATCTGGCGTGGAAGTCAGGATTCATAGCAGCAGATGCATTGGAAAGGAATACAGTCCTTCACCGTGGTGCAGTTTTTGAGTGTCTGTTGCTGGAGAGAACGCTTATATGTTGTTCCAAGCCAGTTGTTTGTCTAATTACATGTTCTTGAAATTCGTGTGAAGAGTTTATTGCAAAACTGGTTTTGTATTTAAGAAAGACCCCATATTTTGGAAGGATGAGAATGTCTCTACTTCACTGCAGTTCTAAGGTGACGGTTTGACCACACAGCGCTTGCAGCTGCTGAATCCTCCCTGTATAGTAGATTGCACAAGCAGCTATCTTTAGCTCCCATGTTTTTATTCTTTGTATTACTGCTTTTTCTCTCCCTGAATACTGGAAAGCGGTTTCATCCACTGTTGATTGAAAGAAATCATTGTTTATTATGATTTCTTTAAAATGGAACAGAGATTATTTGCAAAATTCTTTCCTTATGGTTTAATCTTTCCAGTGAGAGTGAAGTCTGGAAGTGTAGGAAGGATCTGAAGGCATCATGGATTGGTTTAGGAGCCTTGGAAGAGAGAGCGTGTTGAGTGTAAATGCCAGCATCTCATAGCAGGGAGCAACAGGCTTCGAGGATGTGAAATTAAACACTCACAGTTCCATTCAGATTTCTGGTTTCTTAATGAATCTGTTAACTTCTTCATCTTCTTTTCTTTTTAAATTCTCCTCCTGTTATGTTTAATAGGTGCAAACCACAAGAGCTACCACCTAGGTAACTATTTCCACCTCTTTTTTATTGGTTTGCTTTACTCTTAGCACTTATCTTCTGTGATCTCTGTGGTTTCCAGTACTGCAGAAGCAAATAAAATTCAACTATAAATTTTAACTCAACTAATTTTTCTGTTGTTACCCAACATCCATTTAGAACGCTGCTCTTCGTTATGAAAGTTTTCAAGATAGATATAGTATCATCAATTTGGTCAGTAGTGACAACAAAATACATAACCTTTCTCATGGGCAAATTTTTGGCCAAGTGCTCACAATGTGATGGAGTTGGTGCTTAATTTGTCATTTGTCATCTTGAATTCAAGTTATTTGACAGTCTGATTTGGAGGAGGGGGACATGAAAGGAGCACATGCTTTGTGTTAGTATCACCATCTGGTTTTGCCTGTTCAAGCTCTATTGCTCTTGCCTAATAACTGCTTGATAAAGGTGCGTCTTTCAGTTTTCAGTCTCTGTGGACTTTATACTGCAAGCTTCCTGATCATTTCCCATGCACTTCAAGAGCTGGGTCATGCCCCACAGTCTTGAGGTAGCCTGGTTGCCTGGATGCTCCTGGTTGACTCACAAAGCTGGCTACTTCTTGTTAGTACTTCCCAGCATACTGCCAGCGAGAATGTTAGTTGGTTTTCTCAACTCCTGGTAGTTTCAGGTGCGGTCCATGTTGTGTTAGATGCCATACAGCTGGAGGACAGCTCTTGTCCTGCTGGGCTTTCAGCACTGGCTTGCTTGGGGCAGCTTCCCCATGGGTTCAGGTGAAGCTGGGTTGGACTCAATCAGCCCTATGGGATCCCTTCCAATTCTGTAAATTCTCTTGTCCACGTGCAGATATTTGCTAAGATTAGGTGGATGCACTCTGGCATGAATAGAGCTGCCTCCTAGCAGTAACCCTGTGGCTTCAGTTCTTGCCTGCACAGAGATGGTTGTTTTGGAACAGTGGCTGCTGTCACAATAATGCTGAGCTCAGCCCTAGAGGCTGCTAACTGGAGCCTTGGTGTGAGGGGAGACTGGAATGTCCTTGGATTGACAGGGTGAGGGAGGTAAGTGGAAACAGCACTCCTGCGTGGGGTTGTAGTTCTAGTCCTGAATGAGTGGATGGTGATGGATGGAGGTATGTCTCCTCCTGCGCTTCTTTGCAGGCTGCTCTGGTTCTGCTCCATGAGTGACATGGCTGGTAGTGCTAAAACAACAGGGGCTGAGAGCCCTTGTCTTTGCTTGTGGGTTTATCCGGGTGCTGGGCGTAATTTCTCAGGGTGTGTCAGTGGTCGTGCAACAGCTTGACATGTGCTGAGCTTTGTTTCTTAGCATTCCCACAGAAAAAGGCTGAGAAGTCCCAATTAATTGCTTCTGAAATACTCTAAGTGATGAAATCTTGTCTGCTCGAGAATAACAGGGAGACAAATGTAAATTACGGTGAAAAGAATAACACCACAAAAAGCTTTGGAGTGCATTCCTGCTGATGGCCAATTCAGCTTTCACAGCAGCTTTACAGAGATCGCTTAAGTTCAGTAGATGAATAGCAAATTTAAGTCTCTGGAGTCCTCACTAATTACACCACAATGAGTAGCTATAGAAATATCAATGCAAAATGTGATTGTAATACAGCGTTACTACTGAGACGTCTTTTGTACGCAAATTGGGACGTTTGTGTTTATGACTCTCTGAGCAGCCATAGCCTGCTCATTTCTGAAAGGGCACAGTGGTGACTGTATGCAACAACAAAATGTGGGTACATGCACTCTGCTGTAGCTTGTCTTCTGTGCTTGGTTTTGTTACTGCTGCAGTTCTCTCTAAATTCAGACTTTTTTGGAAGCTCAGGAGGATACCGATAGAGATGCCTTTCCAAATGCTTGTTACTCTTCTGAGCACTCCTCTGTCATTCCAGTGAGTGGGAGATGTTTATTGACTCAGTTAAGAGTGCAGGGTTGATGTCCAAGGAATTTTAAAAGAATTTTAGGAGGAAGTTCTTCACACAGAGGGTGGTGACGCACTGGAACAGGTTGCGCAAAGAGGCTGTGGATGCCCCATCCCTGCAGGCATTGAAGGCCAGGCTGGATGTGGCTCTGGGCAGCCTGGTCTGCTGGTTGGCGGCCCTGCACATAGCAGGGGGTTGAAACTGCATGATCATTGTGGTCCTTTTCAACCCAAGCCATTCTATGAATTACTGTGCTGGATGTATGTGTGTCTGTGTATTTTCACTCAATCAGAATAGGAATCATCTGTAGTAAACAGAACTGATAAAAGTTGGCCTGAAATAGTCTGTTACAAATGAAATGAGAACTGACATTATTTTAGTCATCATTTTAGTCATTAGACATTATTTTAGCCATGAGCAGACTGAGTAAAAACATTGAGTATGCTAAATAATGAAAGTTGGACTCAGAAGAAAGGTTGAGGGAATTGGGCTTGTTTGGTTTGGAGAAGGCTCCTGGGAGACCTCATTGTGGCCTTCCAATACTTGAAGGGAGCATATAAACAGGAAGGGGAACAGCTGTTTATGAGGGTGGATAGTGATAGGACAAGGGGGAATGGTTTTAAACTGAGACAGGGGAGGTTTAGGTTAGGTATTAGGAGGAAGTTTTTCACTCAGAGGATGGTGACACTCTGGAACGTGGATGCCCCATCCCTGGAGACATTGAAGGCCAGGCTGGATGTGGCTCTGGGCAGCCTGGTCTGGTGGTTGGCGACCCTGCACATGGCAGGGGGTTGAAACTGGATGATCTTTGAGGTCCTTTTCAACCCAGGCCATTCTATGATTCTATGAAAGAATGTGGTAAGCTGATTGATGCAGTCCTGTTTTTCCACATTCAGAAAGCTGGCTTGCTTTCTGCACATCTACTATGAGTAAAGCAACTGTTTGGGGATGGCTGGAATTTGTGTTGCTTAGAAGCAGGGAAAACTTAGTGCTCTACTACCTGGCTATTTCAGGCTTGCATTCCTTGCTAATCTCCTTCAGTCCTCATCACTCTCCTCTCTGCTTCCTTCCCTTTTCAGATCTCCACAGCCCTTCCTTTGTTTTGAAAGTCTTTGTGAAAAGCGTGTCTTTTGTGGGACCACTGTCTCCAGTTCTGTAGTTGGAAGTTCTTATCCTCAGAAGTTACTAAGGGCTTGCTGTTTGCACGCTGCTCTTTCATGGTTTATCCCGCAGAGGAGATTGGCTGTGTCGTTCAGTGCAGCAGGGTGACTCCAAGAGCACGTTGTTGCTGTTTGACAATATAAAGTTTTATGTGTGTTGGTCAGGCTTTCACCAGTGAAGGTTTCTGTCAGATTGCAGTGAAACCTGGGCCCTAGAATAGGACAGACTAATTGGCAAAAAAATAAAAGCCTGCTCTGAACAAAGTGAGGGCAGCAAGGTTCTTCCTCGTGCCCTTGTAATTCAAGCCATAAAACTTCATGGATTTGATTCAAACGTGCACTCAATGCGCAGCGTATTCTTTTGTAAATGTGGCCGAAACCAGGGCCAGAACTCCATTTATCACTTGGTGTGTCACTGCAATAAGTTCTTCATATCAGGATCCTCTGATACTAGTTTGATAGTTACCCTTTCATGCAGAAATGTCTCTGATCTATGTTCCTATAGACTGCTTTCAAATTACCTCATTATATTGTTTATCTGAGAGATAATTATTACCTGCATTCTTTATGGAAAATCGCTGAAGCTTATTTCCTGTTGTTTTTTTTTTCATCAGCCTTTTTTCTTTTTCAAAGAAAGGCTCTTTTGCCCCAAGTGTGCCTAGAGAGACCTGTGGAAGTGATAGATGTGCTGCTTGTTTTACTGTGTATCGCAGCTTGGCCATACGCGGCACTGGCTGATCACATCCGTGTAAAGCTGTCCGTATCAGGGAGTGATCCGCTTCCCTCTTGTCAAACAGTGCCGAGTGCCCCTTGCTCGTGCTAGTCTGAGCCAGTCTCCGAGGTGATCTGGCTACGTGTACTCTCTGCAGTACGTGGAGCAATCCTGGACTTTGCACATGTTCTGCAAGCCTCTCTTTTTGTTCTCTGCTGTTCTCCAGTGCGTTCTGCTCGCTTCGTGCGCTGTACGAGACCAGATCGGCCGGCTCCATGAGCTGATGCTGCTCCCAGGCATCTCCATGTGATACCTGCCGCCTCTGAGACGTGGGTATAAAGGTACTGGGTCCCAAGCAGTGGTGAGGGGTGCTTAGTTGTCTTCTGTGCACGGTGTGACAAGAAAGGTTTGTGTCGTGTCCCGGAGCACGAGGGAATCGTGCAGGTGCTGTTGGGGTGGTGCTGGACATCTCAAGGTAGAGCAGTTCAACTTGGTGATCCATACTGGCTTGAGGTTATGGCTCTTGGAGCAAATTTTCCTGAAGCATGTTAGATCTCTACCCATGTAGATGTGTTTGGGTTTACTGCAAGTCTTAGCTGAGAGCAAAACTGGCTTGTAATGTTGATGACTGGGGCGGTAGTATCAAAACCTATTTTTGCTCCTTGGTGGTATTCTTGGTCAGTAATACAGATGCAGGCAATAAAGACAAGATACTGCTTTGAAGGAATGATGAGCTTGTAAGGCTTAATAGGTTCCCTGAGACCTGCTGCACGTGTCCTGGCAGGTGGTGTGGGAGCTTAACTATTTGTTCCGGGAGACCTTGGCTGTTGCTTATAACTTGGGTTTTAGTTTACCTTGTCCTAAGACAAGCATAATGACCTCTGTTTGTACAGTGCTTTCAGACCTACTGGAAGAGTTGAGTAAGGTATTGCTGCTTTGTTACAAAGGGCTACTGATGGGTGTGATATCTCAAGAGAGTCTGTGCAATTAGTCAATACAGCCAAGTGAGTATTTGGAGGTTCTCGTGTAACTTGGTTGCTTTGATATTACTATGTTTGAAGTGATTGGTAAAGTTTTCTGCTGGCAAAAAAAACACGAGTTGGTTTTTTTGTTTTTTTTTTTTGCTTTCCTCTATTTTATGGGAAATGCCAATGTGGCTTCTTGGAGGTGGCTCTAGAAAGTGGCATTTCACCACTGTGTGCTCTTCAAAGGATAGAAGATGCTGGCATTGATCTCTGCCTTGTTACAACTGCTTGTGGCTTCACAAAGAGAAGGAGACTTTGTGTCATCTTCTGAATTAGGTATCCCTGAGATTTCCATGGGCTGGATCTGAGAACTGGAGGGGGAGCCCATCATTGGCTCCTTTGTTCTCATGTGTGAGAACAGTGGTTGATTGCAAATGGACAGTGATTCAAAGTGGCAATTATTATTATTATTTTAACTTTCTTGTAATAGTTCTTGGCAAGAGAGCAAGTATGTGAGCATCTTGGCACTGGAGAATTGGGAGGGCCAAGGGCTGAGATGAAAGGGAATGAGTAGGGCTGAGCTGCTCCACTGTGGAGGACCACGCTGTGCCTTCTGCAGTTGTCTGATCAAAGGGAGCTGTGAACATTCAAAACTGCAGCAGCATGCTGATACAAGCATGTGGGCCCTTGCAAATTGTCTCCTGCAAAGTGGTGAGATTGCATCTCGTTAGCTAATGATGAGTGACTCGCTCATCCGTATGGGAGTGTTTTGACCTCCTTTTGGGCTGGCAGAGGTCAAAGGAGGGAGCTGCTTCTGGGTGCAGGAACTGCTACAGTGCTGGCAGCCTCTTGGCCATGCTGCCCTGCAGGCACAGCTTCTCTGTATCTGTTTTTGTACTGCTGCTCTAATGTTACTGACCACATTGCTGCGGCTGCAGTATACTGCAGTATACTTAGGATAATGAGTGGATAAACCAAATGGTGTTTGGCCAGAGTCAGGCACAAGTAACTGTAAGTAACTGAGGTAGTTGCATTCATTGGACTTCAGGCTTGTGAAGAGTACAAAGACATGTGCATGGAAAATACATGGAAACATTTTTGTATTCTTAGAATCATTTCCTGTTGGGCATCTGAAACAAGCACGGTCTTGATCATAAGGCAGTCAGGAGGGATTTGGTATTCCTGACATGATAACCATAGTAAGTAAGAGTCACAGTCTTTGCTGGCAAACAAAGCACATCAACAGTCATTAAGCGTCCTTTGAACATTCAGGAAAAGTTGTGATTAAAATGTTATTTTCTTTTCCCAGCAATGCTGAGTGACGATAACTCTGTAAAGCTGAAAAGTGATTGTTCGCCTCCTGTGCAATGGTGTAAGGTAGCTGCACATGAAGATGAGAAGACCAATCTGGTTTTTAAAAGGTACTCGCAAGTAAGTGTCTTTGCAATGGTAATATAGAGGCAGTTCCTCTCCCCTAGCTTGGGAAGTTACAAAAAGGATACAGAAATCAAGGTATGGGGTTGCCACAGGAGCTGAAGGGAGGGTTAAGAACACAGCTTCTGTTGGGGCACCTAAAGCTCTTTGAGGAGCTCAGACAGTCTTGTAGTATTAAACATTTTCCCTAGGCGTTGTGAGATTCCAGTACTTTGCTCACCAGTGCTTGCACTCTTTTTTGAGGTACAGATAAGTACTAATTGCCAAGGCTTTTGACTTTTTTTTTTTTCCTGAAATCTTGGGAACCTGTCAAATTTGTCTGCATGAGTTTCAAGAAGCACCGAACACTGAGGTGGTGCATTTGTAAAAACAGATGTACAGACCTTAGGAAACCATAGGGAATAATTAAGTTTTAAAATAAAAATCGGTAATAAAGCTCAAACTATATATCTGAACCACAATCTAACCAAATAAGGGTTTAATTTTTGCATGTTGGTTTAACATGAAATGAACCAACATTGGAGATCAACGCTGAGGTTCCATAGCAATGAGAAATGAATAGATCAAAACCACAGATAACTTATTTCACTCAGTTTAAAAGGGTTTTGTCCCCAAAACATGCAGAAGAAGAAAAGAAATAATTAAATTGGGCTCTTCAGTATAAACTCGAGCATCTAAATTTTGCATTCTGGCCTGCCTGTGAGTTGAAGGTGTTGCTTGTCAATGATGACCGTTAGCTGAAAACTGAAAACTTTGCAGTTTGAAGTTTCTTTTTTTAAACTTGCATGAAAAGACATATTTTAAAATAGTATTTCCTTTATGGTATGAAAAGAGAAGTAATTTCTTGGTTTCTGTACGTGAGGAGAAGTGTTTGACCCACCAGAGATGCATTTAAAATATGTGAATGTGGGTAGAGAACTTTACAGCATCAAAGTGTCAGTATGCAGTGGTTTTCTTATCGAAGCAATCTGTACGTTTTCATACTTTCCTGTGCATAACTCTGAGGAGTTGTGAAAGATTGGAGGAAAAAGGACTTAGGTTTGTTGGTTTGAATCAAATGAAAATCTTCATCTGAACTTCTACTGTCTTTATTAAAAAACAAACTCATTTAGCAGTTGGTGAGTTGCTGGAAAAAATGATTCTTTTTTTTCCTTCTTCTAACCCCTGCATAAACCCATTTGTCTTTTAGGCTCCTTGCACTGTTTGTGATTGGAGGGTGCTTCCTTTATGTCCTCAAATTACATTTTTACCCTGAAGAATGTGACAGAACAAAAACACCGTATGTGGACTTTGATCGCGTAAAGGTCAGTATCTGGGTTTTTTTGTCTTGTTTTTTCACTTGGTTGAAACAAAGCGTTGTTAATAGTCGTTATGAGAGTCACAGAGTCACAGAATCGTAGGGGTTGGAAGGGACCTCCAGAGATCATCGAGTCCAACCCCCCTGCCAAAGCAGGCTCCCTACACCAAGTCGCACAGGTAGGCGTCCAGGCGAGTCTTGAGTCATAAGGGCTGTAGGATTGCTGCATGTTTAGTTCTCTGGGTTGTGCTGGAGCAGTGACCTGCATGCATGCCAGAAAGGCAGCTGCAGCCGGGCTCCCTGCATGGGGACCCAGAGCCCAGACAAGGCCATAGCTCCTCAGCTGGCTCCATGCAGCAGCAGAGCAGGGGGTTGCAAGGAGACAGCCCAAAGTTGCCAGGGAGAGCAGTTTTCTGTGAGCCTTTTGCTGGCGCTCAGTTTCAGGGAGTTATCTCCCCTGTTCCTTGCTGTTTGCCTTTCTGTTGCATCAGTGCCAACTTTTGTGTTCAGAAAATCTGTGCAGATGAAAAATAAGCCACCCAGAGCCAACGCATTAAAACAGAAGTTTATTTTTACTAAAGTCGGTTCCCCAGTCTGTTTTACCTTCTAGATGCTCACATGTTTTTGGATTCATTTGTCAAATGTGTAGGAGAGTGCAGCTCTTTATTTATGCGCAGCTCTTCATTTATTTGTTAAAGGTAGCAAATACTTCAAGTGCAGTTTTGCATATGGCTTTTCAGCTCGTGTAGTAGAGATTAGTAAAGTTTTCTCTCAGTTCTTCCTTTTTCTGCCTTTGTTACTTGACCTGCTTGTTCTTTATAATGCATTACTTAGCTTGGGGTTGTTATGTTTCTGTTCTTGAACTTCTCGGCCCTGAGACAATTTATATTTAGCAGAAGCCCTCAAGCATTGTGGTCTGTGCATCCTTCCTTCCCCACCTCCCACCTTATTTAGTAGATTTTCTACAGGTTTACCTTGTGAATCTCTTTGCCTCCTCCTTGCTTCTCATTTGACTTATTTCTTTTCTTGGTAACGCATTCTTGCTTCCAGCCAACATCCACCGTAAGCCAGGCAAGCCTGAAGTTTATGTGGGCAGGTACATATTGCTGTCCCATGGTTCATTTTGTTTATGCTAGATGCAGGAGGAGGAAATAATATTGCATTTTTGTCTGGCTAGGTAGCAGCCAATTGCAAGCTGTTTGGAGCAGCCGGTGATTGCTATTAGCTGTCAGCCTTAAAAATGAGGCTCTTCCAAAGATGTAGAAGTTAGTACAGTGCAGTATGAAGTTGCTCTGTTGTGATGTGCCCAAGAAGAAGTGCATTGTTTGTGCTTAGACTTGCAGTGGCTTTTGCATCAGAGGTAGTTCTGTGGATTAATCTATTTTAAGAGAACACAACGACACAAAAACCCCCCACAAATGATACCCAACTTACTTCCCTGCTGCTCTTTGCGTACCCAGATATGTACTTCCCTTTCCTTAATAGTACAGAAGGGGAACTGACATAGCAACATATCTGGATCTTTTTCTGACTGCATCCTCCATTCCCAACTTTTGCTGCTGTAGTTTCACTGGTGATGGTTGTTCTTGTGTTTGTTTTTTTAGTTTGAATTAAAGTGGATGAAAGATAAGCAGAATTACATCAAGGAAGAGGATATGCTAAAGGATGTATTTTTAAGTGACTAAAAATACTACCTTTGCTGTTTTTTCTTCTTCTCTGCTTCAGATCCTAGCTTGCCAGTACATAGTTTTGAAAACTATGCATATTTAACTTCTTTGATGAGACAGAGAATCGTAGTTTATCTTGCAGCTTAAGCTTTCTGTGTACAACAGCCCTCAAGCTTTCTGTGTACCACAGCCCTTTTTATTTTGGTGATTCGTGTTTTGAAAGAAGACCTAAAACTCCCCCACTTTGCATTCCACTTCAAGTTGTGTTTTAGTCATTAGCAAAGCCACTTCAGCAGTACCTCTGGGGAGAAGTGTTGCTTCATTTCGATTAGTAAAGCAAATGCAGGCTGCCATTTGCCAGAACTTTTAACCAGCTGGTGTGTCTCTGCTGAAAGCTTCGGATGGGCAGAATTCAGGTTACACAGTCGAGCAGTGGACTAGAATTCCTCTTGCACTTTCACTGCTGAATTGCATGGGTGAGGGTAATTTCGCATTGTTTTTAACAAGAACTCTCAAACAGATCTTAGGGAAGATCTCTCTTGATGAAAGTGTAGTTTTCACTAACCTCTTTTTACTGACTTAGTCTATTCTTCAGAAAAACCCCTAGCCAGACAGTCTCTGTCCAGTCATCTCATTCACTTGCAGGTTTTCACCCTGAGGTGCTTGTTATTTGGCAACTGCTTTAAAATGCCTTGTGCTTCCATGCTTAAGTTCTTTTTATGAAACTCTGTTTGCTTAACTGCTGGTGGTCACCTGGTGGGTTGCATTAAGAGTTTTTCTCCCATTCCAGAGACTGAAATTGTGTATGTTTTCTTTCAGAGAGCACAACAATATGCCAGTGCTGTGTTGCAGGAACAGTGCCGACCTTCGTTTGTGAAAAAAGCAATGGGAAAGTTATTTGCGGAGAAATACAGCATGGACATACCTCCCTTTGTAGGAAAAAATATAGATGATGATGAAGCTTTATTTAAATATGGACCTCCCTTTGGATTCCACAGGTTCTTTGATAAGCTTAAAAATCTTCTTGAACTCTTACCAGAGCACGATTTGCCAGAGGATTTGAAGTCAAAACACTGTAAGCGTTGTGTTGTTATTGGCAGTGGTGGAATTCTGTATGGATCAGAGCTAGGTCACTTACTGAATCAGTATGATATTGTTATAAGGTATGTATTTTCTATTTAAAGACTCAAGCTATTTTACTTTGTTACCCAACGTGGTGTTTTTTTGTTTGTTTGTTTTGTTTTTTTTGGTTTTTTTTGAGAGGAAAACATCTCCAACTTCTTATGCAGCATTTCAGGCTGCTTCTGAAAGTGTTTTTGTGAAATGTGTTTGTGAACGGATAGAATTCCAATTTTGTGTTCACATTCAGTGTAATTATTTGTGGACTTCAGATAACAGAAAACGTGGGCAGAATTGAGGTAGGAACCAATAAAATCCTAGACAAATAGACAACCTTGTTTTTATCCATTCATATATTTAAACTTTTTTAGGTAGCCTTTGAGATTCATTTCTGTCTTCCCCCTTTTTTGGTTGGGATGTGTGGTTTCAACAAAGCTGGTGGAGGGCTTGGAGAATATGTCCTACGAGGAGAGACTGAAGGAACTGGGGCTGTTTAGTATGGGGAAAAGGAGGCTGAGGGGAGACCTTATTCCAATACCTGAAAGGTGCTTATGACGAGAGCAGGGTTGGTCTCTGGTCTCTTCTCACTGGTGACAGGTGACAGGACGAGGGGAAATGGCCACAAGTTGCACCAGGGTAAGTTTAGGTTGGATATCAGGAAAAACTTCTTTACAGAAAGGGTTGTTAAGCACTGGAATAGGCTCCCCAGGGAGGTGGTTGAGTCACTATCCCTGAATGTGTTTAAAAACCATTTGGATGTGGTGCTCGGGGCCATGATTTAGCAAAGAGTTGTTAGAGTTAGGGTAGTGTGGTTAGGTTGTGGTTGGACTCGATGATCTTTAAGGTCTTTTCCAACCTGAGTGATTCTATGATTCTGTAGTTACCCATATTTGCTAATGTCCAGAATATTATTTGTGTTCATGTCTTCTGAGTGTTACTGTTTGAGCTCTTGCTCTTTGTGATTTGAGTCATGTAACATCGCAAATTCATTACAAGCACGTTCATGAGTAGCTTTGTAAAGTAAGACTTCTTCCTTTTACAAAGAGAAGAGTTGGTGCAGTGAATCAGTGTCTCTTGAGGTGAGCAAATCTTGGCATGGAGAGGGCAGAAAGTTTGCATTAAACGTGCACTGAGATTAGGATTGGCAGCATGAAGTTGACTTTCCTGTTGATAAAGAAAAGATCATAGGGTTTTCACTTCCTCAGAATTGACAGAGCTGGGCGATACAAGGAAGTTGCCAACTTCCCAAATTTTGGTGACCTGGAATGATGTGAGCCCACAGGATGTGCTAAACTGACCTGTGTGGGAGAGAAGGGATAATCTGAATGCCTTTTTAGTGTGTAATGCTCGTGTGTGTGCATGCAAACAGTTGTGCAGGAAACTGCCTGTGTGTCTTTCCTCTTTTAAGATGGAATTGACACAACGCAAATAATGTGAAATTCTGCAATGCTGGTTTAAGTTGCTTTTCTATTCAAGCTCTTCCTTTTGATATTTTGTACTTTTGCCAGCTGCTCCAGAAATAGAACTGGCATCTTCTCAAAGATAAGGAGTGGATGAGTGCGTGAAGCAAGGAACATGGAGATACTGAGAAAACACTGTACTCTGCTCTGCTAAGAAATCTGCGGGCCAACGACATGTTCTTTGCTTAGTGTCTGATGTTTTAATGAGACTGTACTCTGCACTTATTAACTACAGTTCCTATCTATGTGTTTTCATAGGTTAAATGATGCACCAGTTCAAGGATACACAGATCACGTTGGTAACAAAACTACTATAAGGATGACTTACCCAGAAGGAGCTCCACTTTCTGAACACGAGTATCCCCCTGCTAGTTTATTTGTGGCTGTCCTCTTTAAAAGTGTTGATTTCAATTGGCTTCAAGCAATGGTAAAAAATGAAACATTGGTATGTACAGTGACAGTATCATGTAACTGTGATTTTTTGTTTGTTTGTTTGTTTTCTGTTTTCTAATGCTTAAGAAGTTTACTGGTGCATTACTTCCTCATTTATTATATTGGGGATCTTTTACGTAGCTTTGGTTTTGGTGTTTTGTTTTTTTTCTTATAGCTATCTCCTAGTTACAGGTAGCAGCACTCAGAGTTAGGCCCTGTGCTGACAATGACTTCTTTTTTCCTGCAGATATTGGTAGATTACAGACACTGAGCTATGTGATGTACTGGATGCTTAACAAAGTAGAACTCATTTCACATTAGATATAAGTGACACGTTCAAGTCTGCAGAACCTGAAGTAGAAATGCGATTTTTGGATGCTAGTCCCATTTCTTTAACCACTGACATCTGTGCAGCTGCAGTGGTGGGCATACATGCAATTAACTGTATTGCTGTCATTAGTTCACATTTACCTGTGGTTACTGAATTAAGAGGTCACTCATTTCTCACTAACTGAAGTTCACAGACCTCTAAAGAATCAATAGGAGAGTTCCATGTTTCCAGACTCTTTAAACCAATAGTTTTTTACCTCTTTCAATTTGCAGGCACTTATTTTCTGTAAGTAGAAACACCCTAGCTAGGCTTTTCAGTCCACACGTTGAAAACAACAGCTTTTTTTTTTTTTTTAATTTTTGTTTAGTTACTCCAAGTTTCCTTTTAGTTCTGTGTGATATGTGCTAATATATATTTATTTTTCCAATGTGAAAGCATATGAGAGACCTGTGATATTGATTATCATTGTCTGCTACTGCTTTAGTGAGGGTGTGCAGGGATATTGCCTCATTTGGAACACTCTGAATATATTTTGTGGAGAGGAGGTACTCTTGAATGTATGAATTGGTGCAGTTTTAAGAATTTCTGCTGCCTAATTTTTCTTTTTTCAAAGCAAGGACAGGACAGTGTTGGTCTGTCCTGTTGGTCCTGTTCTTTTTCCAAGCCTTTTTCCTCTCATTGTTCATGTGCTACGGATGATTAAACAAAATGTATTTATGTTGAAAAGGAGCATAAGGGAATGTGGCTCCGCAGCAGTTTACATCAATTCAAGACCAGATTGCTGTGGTTCTTCTCTGTCCCCATGCCTGAGCATTCCCACTTTTTTCCTTGCTCCGCTGTTTCTGCTGTTACAGAGAGTCAGTTTTGGGAACTCGTCTGGAAACTGAATGTCTGTATTTATTGTTTCAAGTGCTCAGTGTACAGGCAGGAAGATGGGACTGCAGCAAACAACACTTGATCGGTTTAAGCTGCTGTGGAGTTGCACCTTAGAGCAGAAAAGCCTGTTTAAAACAGTACAGACCTACATTGCAGCTCTACCAGTTTTATAATTTCTTTATTGTTGCATGTTGTTTGGAAGCATTTATAAATTAGCCTGATCTGGTATTGCTTTTTGTATCAGCATGCATCTAATTGAGTGTAAATGGCACAAGATCAGAATTGAGTTTGCTGAGTCTAATGTAAATCCTTTTTTGAAGTGGTACATTTATCACTGGTGGCTGCTGTCAAACAACAGCTGCTTGCTTCAAAGCCTCAGCAGTTGTTTTAAGACCAGGGCTTACTTCAAAATGCCCTGGTTAATGTTTGTAGAAAACTGATTCCCTTTCTCATTTCTTCAAATACTGCTGCTGCCCAGTTGTGCTGGGGAGGGTCCAAAGCTCCTGAAGGTGGTGCTGGATATGGTGATGAAACACACATTGCAGTCAAATACTCAGAATAAGCAGACTTTTTGCCTGCTGCCCTCTCTCAATTCCAAACACTTTGAAGGTTTTCTCTCTGCCAGGTCGCTCACTTGAACAGTGTACTGCTATTCCTGAACCACCTGAGCTGTAAACTGTTTCCTGAATTTCGCTTTATGGGTGATGACTTCTGTAATTCTCATCTGATATGCTTCACAGTGCCAGAGGTTCTGTTGGGCTAACTATTTATTTATTTCTTTACCTTAGTCTCTGTGGATACGACTTTTCTTTTGGAAGGAAGTCGCCAAGAAAATTCCTTTTACATCAAAACAATTTCGGATTCTCAATCCAGTCATTGTTAAAGAGACAGCCCTGGACATCTTAGAGTTCCCCAAACCTCGATCAATATTCTGGGGTTGGGATAAGGTAAGAAGTTTCATTTTATGAGGAAGAAACTGTACAAAGACTAAAATAAGAAACTGATGGTTCTTCTTTCAGAGTTGTTTTATGTAATGCCAGTGCTTGTATGAAGAAATAGGGAAACGAGCTCTCTCTCAGAAGACTTTGATTTTACACAAATGAAGAAAATAAATGAGGATTTCAGTTCACTTTTTTAAGATAAGGTGTTGTGCCTGTGATGAGAGGAGATGGCCTGTTGTACAAAGCTTTCAGATGCAGTAAGACGTAAATTCATTCCAGTGCAGTGTGTTCACTCGTGCATTACTGTGACTAGTGTTAAATATTCAAAGCATACACCGGACTCAGGAGTGTGTTAAGAGCAGCCCTGTTAAGTTGAGCCAGAGGTCAGCTATGGACAGGTATGTCTCCAGCTGTGGGAAGAGCAGAAAGAGTATGGAAACAGGAGAATTATAAAGCAGAACTTCCCACTGGCAGGTTCTTCACACTATGAGAGTTTCTATGTGTGTGCCTTGGTGCTCAGTAGCAGCTGATGGGTGTATCCTCTCTCAGTAGCCTTAGCTTTAGCAATGGTATGGAGTGATGAATCACCCAATTTAATTAAACACTGCATTTTTGTTAAATTTTAATTATTTGTCAAATTGTGTCAGCAGTTCTCTTGAGCTATGAGAAGTACTGAATAACCATTGCCTTTTTACGTTGCATGAAAGCAGTTATTGCCAACATATCATAGAATCACTCGGGCTGGAAAAGACCTTAAAGATGATCGAGTCCAACCACAACCTAACCATACTACCCTAATTCTAACAACTCTCTGCTAAATCACGTCCCTGAGCACCGCATCCAAATGGTTTTTAAACACATTCAGGGACGGTGACTCAACCACCTCCCTGGGGAGCCTATTCCAGTGCTTAACAATCCCTTCTGTAAAGAAGTGTTTCCTAATATCCAATCTAAACTTACCCTGGCACGGAGATGTTTTGAAGGATCTTCAGATCTCAAAGTATTTCTTTAAACAAATAATGTAATATTTTAGGATACAAGGAGGCTATGCGTGGTTTGGTGTACTCACCTTCTTCAACAGATGTTCAGTGAGAAGTAGGTTTCTAAGAATACTTAGAAGTTAGAGTGCTTCTTGTCCAAGGCTGAAACAAGCATCTATGAAGAAATGCCAAGTGTGACTGCATGTCAGGAGTTGTTTGAGTATTTGGAACAAGGGTTCACTTGCAGTCAAAATACATAGTAATAGGGCATCTTGCCCTCAGTTCACAGGTGAAAATGTAGTGTCAAAAGCCAAAATTCTTGTAAAGGGCAAATACTCAAGTTGTATTAATATTGGCCCTGAAATTTTTGGTTTAGATCCTTGAACTGAAATTTAGTTTTAAGTGATTGATTTTAATCTTTGACTGATTTAATTTTTAAGTGAAGAAATAGGCAAATACTGTCAAGTGTTGTAAAACTGCCAAAAGAGAGCATCTGAAGCCATTTGAATTGAACAGACTTCTTTTTTTTTTCTTTTTTCCTCTTCTTAGAATGTGCCCACAATTGGGGTCATGGCTGTTGTTCTGGCCACACATTTATGTGATGAAGTAAGCATAGCAGGATTTGGATATGACCTCGACCAGCCCAGCACACCTTTGCACTATTACAACAACCTCTGCATGGCTGCCATGAACAGACAAACGATGCACAATGTGACAGGTGAAACAAAATTACTGCAAAAACTGGTCAAAGAAAAAGTTGTAAAAGACCTCACTGGTGGAATACATTGTGAATTCTGCAACAAAGACAGCTAGTGATTGAAGTGCAGCATGGTCTGGATTTGTTAAATTCCCAGAAGTTTTGTTGGAACAACCCTTAAAGCGTATATAAAATGGACTTGGAATCTCTGCTGTCTTTTTTTTTTTAACGTCAAGTTCAATTTGTTGGACTTTTACATTTATTTTGATGTTCGATTTTATTTTGCACGTTTTTGTTGTAAATACAACTCGGCGTTGAAAGAGATCCATTTAAAATATTTAATGTTTTAAGTTGTCAGAAGAAAAGCAGAGATTTTGTTTTCACATGTATATGGTACGCACAATGCTACCCTGAGTTGTCTGACAGCATAGAAGATTTATTTCCCATTGAACTGCTGTCTTTGTGGATCCAGTTCCAGGTGTGTGACTCCTTTTCATGCATGCCGTGAAAAGAAAGGCGTATGTTTCTCAAATCTCACTTGTCACAACTTGACCATTGTGTTTCTCCCTCAAATATTTATATTATTTTGTGTTTGTGCTGATATTTTTTTGGAGGAGGGATGCAGGAGTGGAGGTGAAGGAAAAGGAACTGTTGTGGCAACAATTGACGAATCAGTACTTCAGTGTCCACACTTGATGTTAGAATCCTTGATGCCATCATGCATTGGGTTAGAACCTGCTTTTGCACGAGGCACGTTTGGACCCCAGGGCATGTTGTAAAATGATGTGACCCTAGGAGGCTGTCACCTGAACCCAGTCCTTCCTTCAGGCCATTCCTGCAGACCCAGATGAATGTTTCTAAATAGTTGATTTGCAGCAGAGTTCAGCTACTCCGGGTAAAGAAGTGGCATTAATACAGAATCTGTCCTCTTCATTTCTAGAGTGACTTGAGAATCTCTCAGTCAGTAACACATTGGTTTGTATAAACCTTCCATTTAGCAATAATAGAATCTATGACTAGGCTGAAAATTATCTTGGTTTACTTTACCATCCTTTAGCAATTAATTATGGCTATTGTTACATGAAGGGTTATCATCAATGTAAACTATTATGAACTCTAGTGTTGACTGTTAAAATTGAAGGGAGAGATTGGATTATCCTGGATAAGCTTTTAAGTCAGCAGCTGGCTGAATGTATGTAAGAAAACCACAAAATCATACTGAGAAAATATATGACCTAGTAAGAATGCCTGCTGAAAGCAGCATGCTTCTTGAAAACCAAAAGCTCAACCTATATGAACTCTTGTGACTGGAAGTCAGTGCATTGCAAAGAAACTGGACTGCACAGACCTGCATGCAGGTGTAGTTGTTAGCTCTGGGACTGGTAGAGTAGTAGGTAGGACTGTTTGCACTGAGTGTTGTTAGTCAGCCGACAGCATGTGAAAAATGCTTTTTGGGGGAAGCTTGTTGGCAAATCAATTAATGGTTGGCCTAGGAACATTGTTTAGAGTCACGGACTCTCCACATCATGAACATTCCCATTTTTTTTTTTAGTTTTTATTATGGGCTAAGGTAAACACAGTATGGAGGTTCAAATATTCCAATATCTAATGAGGGAAAGTAAGATTATGGTAGTTGTGGATTTTTATTTAGTTATTTTTTCCCTGGTGAGGAGATCTAATGAATGGTAATGTTGAAATACAGAAGCAGCAGACGGATTGTGGCTGTTACACAGAAAGGCAATAAAATATCATGTGATCATAAAGCCTAATTCTGAATAAGAAGTTGTGAACCTTAACTTTCCTTAGTCCCATGTGTGTCCTTGAAAGCCAGTTGTGGACGATAATGAAATATCAGAATCAGATTCTTGTCTCTGGCACTGTTTGTGTACATAGCAATAATGTTAATCTAAATTCTCCTCCTCAAAACACATTAATTTTTGTGCTAGCAATAAATTTCTAGTTTGTTTTCCTGTAAGTATAATAATTATATTGTTTAATTTAAAGCTATTTCATGTTTGAAGAGTTTTATACAGATGGTCTTTTAGTTAATATATTGAAATGTGCTAATTATTTTCTCTCGGTATTTAAACTAGCAACAGAGTATGTTAATTCCATTTGGTATTAGTGAAATGATGGAGTTCAGAACATGTGCGTTGGGAGGATGTCCTGAAGACACCAAATTATGTGTTTCAGAGCACTTGATCCCTTACCACTTTGCTTTAATCAGGAAATTGAAAAAGAATCAGTTGATTAACGTGAATGCCAGTAGCTTTTTGGAGATGTCGTATTTATTGTCAGGTTCTTAAATTATGTTGATGTGGGGTTAATTGTTTTTTTTTTTTCCCCCCCACCATTTTTGTAGCTTGTGATAAAACATTGCTCTCCGTTGTAGTGTGTATGTGGCGTTGGGTATTCCTTCATGGGCTCGACCATACATCAAATGGCAGCAGAGTTCACATTGCAAAAAGCAATAAACTGATGAAACCACTTTCTATTCATCTGTCTCACCGTTTGCAATTTGTTCTGCCTCATTTATTAAGGATGTTGTGTGCTCTGTGGGTACAGTTGAAAGTTTCAGTGTGATCCCATAGCTTCAACTCTTTCCTCCCTTGACTTTAGGGTGGTTGCATGTACTTGCATTATTATGCTGCAGTCCTTCAGGTGAGTTAAAAAGAAATTCTCTACATTAGGACTGAATAATTCTGAAACTGTTTTGAAGATACTTAATATCTGTGAAGCCTTTTTCTTTCCCCCTTCCAGGACATTGAGAATTTCATGTCCTTCTAGAAGATTGCCAAGACATGAGCACTGTGCTTATTTTGGCTTGGTTCTTTTTGTTCAAAGACACCGTGGGAGCTTTGAGTGTGAATTGATGGTGCTCTTTTTCAAGTGTATATGAATCCTACTGCAGCCAGAAGGTGGAGACAAAACATCACCTTGGGAAAACCCCATGGGTAAAGTTACAGTTCATCTGTTACCATACCATGAATGTGAGCCAGAGTTGCATGAGGGTACACAGCCACTGGGCTGCAGAGTGAGATGGAACTGAAGGGGATGGTTTCAGTCTGTGCTCACTGATGAGTTGCTGTCAGAATTGGATATGAGCATGCAGGGCTGTTGGCTGAGGTGCTGGTAAGGAGCTGAACAGCAGTTCAGCCTCTTTGGTGCTGGCTGTGTGCTGATGGCCTTGGCTCTTGTGCTGCAGTTGGGAGCTCCAGCAGGAGACAGAAGGCAGTTGTGTAGCACAAGTGTGGTCTCCTGTGCCTGTTGCCTGAGCAGCTGAACGAAGAGCTCGTGTGCCCCTAGCACAGATGCAGTGCTGTGACTTCCTGCCAGCACTGAGGTTTTATACAAATAACCTGAGTTAACAGCCCTGCCCTCTGAAATCTTCCTTTTTCTCTTACCTTTCCTAATCTCAAATATACCTGAGGTGATGGTGTTCCATGTAACTCTTTTATTATTAAATAAATCCAGGGTATATGTATTGACTACTGTTAGTTGCTGTGCTCTGTAATGAAGGCTGTTTATTTCCTGGAAAAGAACCTGCCTGTGTTTTAAAAACAAGGAGGACAGCAAACTCCTGCCTGCTGGGGTTGAAGTAATTACCTGGAGGTAAGTGCTTATATGTAAACCGTTTTTGGACCAGGCCATTTGTCACTTCAGGCGACTGGATTTGAGGACAAAAGAGCAACATCTTTGCCCCTCTGTGAAGTGCAGCCTCTGTCCTGCAACCTTCTGCTTGAACTCCACCTCCACACCCTTGCACCTTTCTATAGAAAGTGCACTGTACCTTTGTGCTAAGGACAACATGACTTTTTTTAATTACCAGAGTATGAAAGCAGCCCTGCTTCAAGTAGGACAATGGAGCGTTGTCAGGGACCTGATTCAAGTTTCTGAGCAAGCTGGAGTTCAAACTTTATCCCATGTGAAGTACTTGCAAGGTCACTCTGAGGCAGCTCTGAGGTGAGGTAGGCAAGCATTAAAACAACATTATGACAAGATCAACAGCGTAGTGACAACCTTTACATCGATATAAAGTTGCCAGGACTGGGTTTTTAAGTGGGAGAGTGGAAAGACAATGCCCTCAGACTTTGTTAATTTCTCCAGGTACCCATGCCTTCCAGTTGGTTGACACTTTTCTTCCTGTCCAAGTGCTTGTTGTGTTTGTTTCACTTTGTTTTGTTGTTGTTGTTATGTAAAGTCATTGAATCTTAACCCAAATTACGCTGCTTTGCTTTTTCCAGCCTGTGAATTGGACACGGATCAGCTGCTCGTCTTACGTTCTTCTCCTCTCCCTGGGGTCAGCTGCCTTCTCATTCATTCTCCCCGCTGCCTCTCTTGTGCTCATGCCAAAACCAACTTGGTTCTGACCTCCAACGTACGCCCTTGTGCAGCACAAAGCATTTCTGTTCAGCACAGCCACTCCTACTCCCTTTTTCCCAGCTCCTTTCTTCCAGCTCCATCCCTGCAGCACGTCACCAAGGAGCTGTGGCCACAAGGCAGTGTTCCCCCCACACCCTCTCTGTTGGGCATTTGATCTACTCAGTGTGTGGGGCTGTCAAGGACCAACAGGAAGGTGATGGGCAAGTTGTGGAACAACAAACCTTACAATCTTTTTGGCAAAAAAGAGTAAGCAGGCACTGCAGCGCTGAGTGCTGCCTTGTGCTTTTCTCTCCTGCTGTGGCTAAAATGCTTATTGTTGCTCAAGGAAGTCCTGAGTTCCAGTGTGGGGCCAGAGCGTGTGAGCCATGGCAGGGGAGAGGGGAGCAGAAACAAGGCTCCCTGCAGATCTTTCCTCCGGCATAGCTAAAAAAAAAAAAAGCCCAAAGCATGTTTTGTACCAGTTGCAGTCATTTCTCCCCACCACTGCAGCCTGAGTAGAGGAGGAGAGGATGTGAAGGTGTGGACAGTGCTGACGGACATCCACAGAGGTTTCTTTGCTGGGGTGTTGTTTACAGCTTCTTGCCTTGTGTCATCAATTCTGCCTCCTTTGCTCCATCAACTTGTATCTATTTTTTTTCCCATGCTGTTTTCCTCCTTTCCCTCTTTCCCCATCTAAGTATCGCATTGCATCAGTTGCAATTTCTCTGCTATCTCTTCCAGGCTTAGAAGCCAAAGCAGCTCCTGCAGACGAGAGTTTGGTGAGGATGCTGGGTATCCACAGGAGAAGAACAGGGTCTGGTTCCAGAGCAAGGGTCATAACCCTGGAAAGGAAGCTTACAGTGGCTGTTCATCTCATTGTGTACTGCTATGCAAAATCCTGAAAGAACAGTTGGTTTTTGCTAACAGTTCAGTATTCAAATCACCACGAGCAATTTGGGTTTTATAGCTGGCTGAAGAGGTCTGGGGTTATTTTTAAGCAAGTTCTGTACTGTTAGTAGAGGCAGCAAATTAGGACAAGTTGCAGCTTATTTCAAAACCCCAAGGGATTTTTTTCTGCTGTGAGTTCATGAGTGTCTGAACCTTGTGACTATTTCTCTGGTCTGCTTTTACCCTGCTGGATTGCTGAGCCTGCTCTTCCCTGTCGCTGGGGCTGTCCCTCGTGTTACCAGCCAGCTGGCTCCTGGCTGATGGCATGGGCTGGGGTGCAATGGATGTCAGCAGCTCAGGCAGATGATTAGAGGGTCTCACTGGAGCTGCCTGCTGCAAGGGGAAAGTCATGATCTGTGTAATGGCTCCCAGTTGGGCTGGGCTAGGAATTTCAGTGATTTCAAATCTCTTGGTATCAGGGAGATGTTCGCAAGCCTGATAGCAGCCCTTGGCGTTCACAGGCAGAGATGGACTTGCTGAATTTCAAGCCATGCTGCAGAAGCAGATGCAGTGAAGTGCTGCATGAAAGCAGAGCCAGGGGACACCAAGCGTTTCCTATTTGCAAAGGGTTGGAAGTGACGAGCGGGTGCGTAGCCCCATCTAGTGCTCTGGTGAGAGCTGTGCTGCTGAGCCAGGTTGTGCTCAGGCTTGGAGGAAAATAGTGCTTCACCACTAACACAACAGATGCTGCTAGAAGCAGGAAGGAAGCAGGAAGGAACAATTTTCCTTGCTCAGCACGCAAGCGGAGCTCGAGATAAGGACATGTATCCTATGGCTGGGTGTTAAGTACAACCAGCTATGGAATCATAGAATGGCCTGTGTTGAAAAGGACCACAATGATCATCTAGTTCCAACCCCCTGCTATGTGCAGGGTCACCAACCAGCAGCCCAGGCTGCCCAGAGCCACATCCAGCCTGGCCTTCAATGCCTCCAGGGATGGGGCATCCACAGCCTCCTTGGGCAACCTGTTCCAGTGCTTTACCACCCTCTGAGTGAAAAACTTCCTCCTAATATCTAACCTAAACCTCCCCTGTCTCAGTTTAAAACCATTCCCCCTAGTCCTATCACTATCCACTCTTGTAAACAGCCGTTCCCCTTCCTGTTTATGTGCTCCCTTCAAGTACTGGAAGGCACAATGAGGTCTCCCCGGAGCCTTCAACCACAGTATGACAAAGGTACAACCAAAGGCCTGCATTGTCCAAAAGAATCCAATGTGTTTTTTTCTTTTAAATCTGATTTTTTTTGGGGGTGGGGAGAGAGGGAGATAGAAGCTTCTTTCATCTGTGTCAAAGAAAGCATAGCAGGGCTTGTACCAAATAATGTTTTAAAATCCCCTTTTGTAAGAACTTTATATATCCAAAACATGGATATATGAGCAAATAGAGACTGACTGGTCCTGGGAAGACCATGCGAACGGTCAGTGAGAGTGATTCCCTTCCTTCTCCATCACGCTGAGCAAAGGCTAAGACAGACAGAAATAGCATCCTGGGATGTTTAGATTTAACACAAGACAATTTTTCCAACATGAGATTAGAGCAGCATTGGCATGGGTTGAGCAGGAAGGCCCTAAGGCCTTCTGAAAGTCTGAGGGCAGAGCTGGAGCAGCTCCAGCTGGGATGGCTTCAGCTGTAGCTGATCCTCACCGTGGGCACAGATTTGGCTGCCCCATGGGAGGGAAGGGAGGAGTATTCTTCCCAGCCTCTGTCTCCGCCCTTCCAGTTCAGTGTGTGATATCGTGTGCTGGGGTTGCCGTTATTCATCCTTTCTCCTCAAGCATTTTCAGCTCTGTTTACAGAACATGCTGTGAAAAAGCAAAGCACAGCCATAAAACTGGGGGTAGGCTGTCCCCTGTGGTTGAATGAGGATGCTGGGAGTTGGAGGTCAGGTTGTAAGCTCTTGATTGAGAAAGAGCTGTAGATTCCTTCCAACTGAACTTTTCTATATTCTATTCTATTCACAGTCTTGGAAAAGTTCCTTATCAGCTTCCTTGTTAGTTCTTTGGAAATGCATCTCCAGCTGTGCTTGAGTACTAGGGCTTGGATTTCTCCCTCTTTTCAAGTTAGTGTTTGGGAATATCAGCTTAGGCAAGGAGATCTGGGGCCAGAAGAGTGTTCTACGTTGTGTAAACTCGACGGAAAGAAGGGGAGTGTTTGTCTTGAAACCCTCAAGTTCCTTCTCTGTGTTCCCA